GGAAATGCCCAGAATAGTCAAGACTCTTACTATGTTAGGCAAAGACTTTAAGGTGAGCTAGGAGTAAGCTGAATGCAGCGTGTTCCAGGAAGATCAGTCATGGAAAGTTGATCCGGTAGCAAAATTGCTAAGTAAAAACTAAGGATGAAATGGGAAGCACAGGTGAAGGTTACCCAGCCTGTGCCGCAATTTAAAGCCAGGGTCCTTTCTCCTGCGGATTAACTTTTGAGGAAAATGTAACAAGAGCTGAAAAAGCAACTGAAAATGTCCAATTTTGCTTGGATTATTTAGATCAGAATATGGAAGAATTTTGCCTTTATTGATTTGGGTAATTTTGTCAGTTTTAATTTTGATTCCTATTAGAAATCAGGCATGTGTCAGGTATGTTTAGAAGCCAAAGCATACATGTAGTTTCAGCTGTCACAGGCCCTAGATCAGGAAAATAGATAGCTATTTTTGTATGTTCTATCACTAAGTGCTTCACGTGATACAGAGTGAGTAAGAGTTTATGAAAAGGGTTGTTAGTGTCTTCTTTGAGTTTCTAAATTGGAATTCTGCTTCTAGATGAGGTTTTTTATGGGCAGGATTACGTTCAGGAAATGTGGATGTGAACTGCTCCATGACTGGCTTTGAACTTTGGTATTTTTGTTGGAAGGGGTGAATGTGTCCTTCTGTTGACTTTTCCCTTGTTATACACGTTTCTTTACATTGTTTATAAAGCTTTTTAAATACTTTGAAGCATTTCCGTATTTCTTTACTTTAAAATTAAGATATCTGTATAGTATCTGAGAGGGTTTTATTCCTCCCTATTTATAATTACATCAGTGCTTCTCCAAGAAAGAAACATATACTTATCTTGAAGTTAAAGCTAACCTAAGGTAGGTGTATATATGTTACTAGTGAATGGCATAGTTAAAATACCTGAATATCTTTTTTCCTGTCATCACTATTACATATAAGTTAGTCTTTAAAATTTGATTGGTAGATATTTTCTTGATGAAATTATACACATCATATTGAAACCAATACACTGAGACTTGAGTCAGAATGAGTTTGCAAAATCTGGTTTAATTCCTATCTGGGGAGGGTAGGGGAACATGTTGTTAAAATACATATGCACAGGAACCTAATCAATGCTAGACAAATAATGTATTAGTTTACAATATAATAGGATAACCAGAAATTCAAAGGCTCAAATTGAGTCCATCAGCGGTAATACAATTTTATATTTGGCTCAAGTGGCTGTTGAATATCAAATGGTGCTGAGTTCCTCCAAAGCACCTCATGACCCCCCAGTCTTGGAAGGAGTTTCACCACAGTCTCAGAAGAAATCCCAGTCGTGCTTTTATTTCTTTTGGCCCTTGGGAGTCATTGCTGCCCAAATACAAACGCAGGCCAGGGATTTCCAGTGGCCACATGTTATTGCACAGAGAGGTCTGTTCTAAGCAGACCCTTATGGCTAAGACGGTGTGAGATTAGCCCTTAAATAGTGGTCTAGCATTAACGTGGTCTATCAAAGCATGTTAAGAAATAGCTCCTTAGTGATTATGTACCAGCTACTAGTTATCACACAAACAGAAAAGGCAACGTGGCAGCTTCACATTTCACATGAAAGACTAGCATTAACTGGGCCTGTCTTGCTGGCTTAACTTTCACATAAAAATCTAGTGATTATTTTAATTTAGACCCAGGAAAAAATGATTTCATACCAGTCTTTTCTTCACATAGGTTTGTGTAGCATTAAAATTGTTATGGGTTAATGACTAGGCCATGAAGGCAAAATGTTTAACTCTCCTTTGCCAAAACAGAAACAATCTCTGTTCTGACTCCTGTCCAGTTTCCAAAAAACAAAACATAACATACACCTTTGTTATTGCACATCTTTCACACAGACTTGTGTATGTATAATATACATATATATTTTTTAAATATGCTACACATAAAAAAGACTATGGCACTTTACAGAATACATGTTTAACAAAGATCATTACACCACAGATGTTTGATAACTATACAAAAAACCCTTACACAATTAATGTAACGTTGTTGAATTCGCACACAGGTTTAAAAAAATCCACAGAATCCAAAGCAAACATTTCTGCCTTCTTGGAGTTCACTGAGAAGCCCAGCCCCATCACAAAACTTTAAGCACAAACGCAGGCAAAAAATAAATAAGAAGACTTGCTGGTAGTAGTAATGGTCCAGGTGTATTAGATTTTTAGACTGAGGCGCTTGATAGAAATTTATTAGAAAAATAGCTGCGGGTCAACGATTGTCTAATTGTTTTTAATCTGTTTCCTTCTAACACATTCCTCCTATTCAGTGGTTTTTAAACAGCCATGCAGTTTTTGTCTAGACTAGCCTGATTTTGATATTCCATTTATCCCAACTGAAGCCTGGCTAAATGAACTAAAGGTTTAAAAGGCCCACATTACCTTTTTACTCTTTCTCTGCTAGAGAAATTTCATCTCTGCTCTGCTTAACAAATCAGTGTTTAAGCAGTTTTTAGTGGTTTGGGGTTGTGTGTGTGTGCATGTGCTGGGATTTTTTTTGTCTTCTGCAGCATTCAGACTAATGAAGTAAAACACTGTCAAGTGACTTTCTTCTGGCCAAGAGAGGTCACATTTTCGCTAACGACTTCTGTTATCAGCGTGACCTAGGAATATCCCACCCTCCACCGCCCCTCAGTGAAGGCGCAGTCAGGCAGTAACGATGATGGACATGCTTAGAGAATCCTCTAAGCTTATGACTTGTCTGCGAGGAGAGTGAGAGTGTAAAATTAGTGTTATAACATGGGTTCTCTATCTTGTATAGAAGAAAAAGTAGAGTGAATCTTGTGATGATAAATTTAAGAAAAAAAATTGGGTTTTAAATTGTTTGCCTGATGGAGGGAGTTGCTTTTTTTTAAATGAAAATTATTGCCAAGGGTTAAAAAGCAATGACTGTGATGGCATCAGAACTTGGTTAGAGCATACAGATGCACAGTAAGGGGCAGGAGTCCTGTCCAGTGGCTGCCATAACCTATTATTTCTGTGTGGCGTCAGACACAGTTATTGTTTGTGTCCTGAGCCCTTATGACAGGCTGCTATGAGGATACATATTTACCCCTTGAAGTCACAGATGTACATCTTGCTTTTACTCTGAACTTTGGTCTAAGAATGGTGAGCTCATGAAGACCTGGTTCCATGCCCACGCCTTCCTGCCCTTTAGCTCATTATCTGTGAGATAAAACGGTTTCTGGTACAGGCTGAAGGCTAGAATGGAACTCAACTGGGATGGAACAACTAAAGCAAATTACTTGCTCTGCAGCAAGGCATGGTTTTAGACTCACACAGCTTTAAGATGATTTACTCAGGGCAGGGTTGTAAAATCTGAATCAGGGTTCTATGCCTGGTGGTGCTTAGCACACAATACCTTGCCCAAACAAGGTTCATAGTTATTTGTTAAATTTTCAAAACAAAGCAAGCCCTCAAGCAAGTAGATTCATAAGCCTAAAGAGACCTGTCCTTTTAGTCCTTCCAGAAATTTGGCAGGTCCACTCCATTTGCTTAAATTGCAAAGAAGTGTTTCTATCGCATTCTGCAATTCTGAAGCTCAGGATAATACCAGACTAGGTTCTTTCTGGTCACTTTGATCGTTCCAAAGTAAGTCTGAAGTGATGGCTAATATCATTTTCCTGAATCAGTTATGTTGGTGATTTATAGAAACGAGATTAAAAGCCCCTGAATCCTTTTTAATAGTGGTGTTTCATTCATTCTGTAAACAGGTATAGGCAATAGGCAGGTGCTATGAGCTTGGTCTAGCTCTCATTTTGCATTAACTTTCTATCTACTCTGTGCTTTCCTGAGAATGAAGCCTTTGATGTAACTCACCAGTTAGAGCAGTTTAATGTTATTTCAGTCTGCTTTCAGGACCAACACCAGTAACTAGAAAAACTTAACTCCCATCTCTAGCTCCTTTTTCTGCACAGAATGCCATCCTGCTGCTGCTGCGGGGTAGGAATACAGCTGAATACAGCATGGTTACCACACAGTGGGAAAAGGTCTCCCTGCAAGTGCTGAGATTCTGGCAAGCTCTCCCAGTCACCAGATGAATGAGCCACAGCTGGCTCGGAGACCTCTGTCCCTGGAATCAGGAAACAGAGTGAGGTTTCCTTTGGCAGTCAAAGCGCAGTCCTAGCCCTAGAAGAACAACATGTGATCTCCAGTGGAAGAGGAGACTGGGCCAGTACTGGTGCTAGCCTGGCTGCTGGGGAGTGGAATGAATTTGTCTCCACTTGCAGGATTTTGTACTTTTATTCTCATGATTGGACAGGTCCTTATTCTTCCTTTTCTCAAATTTCTAAACTCTTGGAGTGACAGATCAATTGATCCACCTGACTCTGGAATTCAGCCTAGAATTAGTCCCACCACAGAATTCCACACTGTCCCTGCTGACCCCTCGGGTCAGCTAAGCAACAGACAGTGTCTTGCTCGGCCCTTTAGCACACATCCTCTCCCCGGTGGGTGTGCAGTCTTCATTGCAGTCTCCACCTGAGACAGTTTGAAAGAACTAGGAGGAAACAAAAGCACCAACCCCCAAACCTCACTCTGAGGCAGAGATGCTCACAGGCATGCAACCTGTGCAGAAACGTCTCTCAACAGCCTGCAAATCTGGCCAATGGTCTCTTCTGTTACCAGAGAAACTGCTGCTTTAATGGTTTGGATCATCCTTCATCAAGCCTTGCAGGGAGATGGAGTCTGACAGAACTTAACTGCATGTCAGGGTTTATGTACTATTTTCATGTTCCATCTCTTACAGTTTGCACTGTGGCCCTGCTGTGCAGTCACTTTGTGCAGCTGGGTGTTGCCTGTCGTTGGTCCTGGCAAGGCTCAGGGCTGTGGAACGTGGCTTTGGTAGGTAAAGGCTTAGTTCTTCACTTGATTCAAACGACAGAACCAGAAGTGAAGTGTTTCACAAGGTTACACGAGCAAGAAAACGGCATTGATGTCTCTTCCGAACTAAAGGAGGCAGATAAGGTTTTTCCCCTCTTCGATTTCTTCTTGTACTTTGTCACTGGAGGTGGCAATTTCTGCTTGTGCGGAAAAGACGGCACAGATGAAAGTGAGGACCGTGCCCCCGATGGCGGTATAGAAGGCCCAGCCCAACGAGCAGTCTCCGGGTTTGTAGGCCGATGCGTAGTGTCCGCAGTAGCCTATGGCCTTCTGGCAGCCCCAGCCAGCAGGGTAGAGTATCAAACCCAGGATAAGGAAGAGGCCTGCAGGGCAGAAGAAAAACAGGTGAAAGCCCCACGGCTCTCCAATGGCAAGTGAGTAACTGTACCAATCTGTGTGATGGCTACTTGATTCGCCTGCTCTGGGCAATGGCATCTGTTCTGCAATAGCAAGTGTTAGGGACTGTTTTTAGGCAGCTAATCTGGCCTGATCAAGACAGACAATCAATCACCTTATTGAAATATTTTTAGCTGCTTTTGTACATGTTGGAATGTGAACCCACTAATAATCTCTCTTCTAGAAAAGCAGGTAACCGTGTTGCTACTTCTTTCCACAGGGCTCCTACTGCAGTGAGCAGTTAGCTCCCTTTTGGTCTGAGGCAGGAGTCGGCAAACTAAGGTCAAGTGGGGTCTTGTTTTTGTAAGTGGAGCACAGCTATGCCTATTTGTTTATGGACTGCCCGTGGCTGCTTCTGTGCGGGAACAGCACAGGGAGAGTTGCTACAGACCCTATGGCCTGCAAAGTCTGAAATAATGTACTCTCTGGCCTTTGGCAGGAGAAGTTTGCCCACCCCGGTGTGAGGGAATTCACAGAGAACCGTGCTTAAATGCGACAGACCACATCTTAAGCTGGGTGTCGTGCTTTAAAGATGAGCCCACGAAGAGTCTGTCTGCTGGCATTCACCAGCAACCAACCGCATACCTAGGACAGAGACCTTCTATGTTTACATATACATTGAGAGGCCACTTGCAAACTCCGTTAAGAACGTTTGGCCCGAGTGCTTTCCAGTAAGTTCAGCTCTGAGGAGACACTAAGAAGTTCTGTTTCCACTGTGCTGACGCCACCACAGCACTGCCTTGCTAAAGGCCCATTTTTCTCTCCCTCCGGCTGCTCACTGTGAAATTGAGAGGGCTTTTTCCTGCCAGCCCTGGGGGTTAGGAGCTACTCCAGGGCAGGATAAGGCAAGGCAAGGCAAGGCAAGTGAGGCACAGACAGTCGTTCTCAGGTGCCTGCTCTGTGCCTGTGGCAGCCTGGGAGGGAGCGCCTCCCCCGCCGACACACGGCGGAAGCTGCCTACAAGGGCGTCCGGATCCCGGGACCACGAAGGGAACTGAGCGGCCTCAAGTCTTACCGACAAAACTTTCTTGGTAGAAAGGGTGCTGCGGGAAGAAGACGGCTTTATTCGACGTAGCAGGAAGAAACAGTTTTCTTTGAAGAATGTCACCTACATAATCAAGATCGCTAATGCACAGTCAAAAAGCCCTGTTTTTTAGATACATTGGACTAGCAGTTCTGTCCTCTTAAATTTAAGCTTACTCTAAATTCTCTTTTCCTACCTTTACTGAAATCCTCTGGGGTTACCACACCAAAGCTTCCTAGGCATTTACAGCAACTTCCTGACAAAAAGAACACGACTGCATTTGTGCTAGTGTTCGGTCTGAGGAAGCTTGTGTTTCAGACCACAGATCACAGCTGTCATGGAGAGCATCTTCTCCCCGATCATGGCACTAGAGTGGGTTTTGGGGTCTGACCCTACTTCCCAAACTAATCCCCTTGTTCTCCTCTGAAGGCCTCGCGGGGCTTTCTAGCAGGGGTGGAACAGAGGGAGTCCATTTACACGCTCACGGTCTTAAGAGGAGCGATTCACAAAAGAAGTTTTTCTAACTGCACAGCCCTTATTTCTCCGTAGGTCGGGGCGCTGGGAGCCGGGTGGCGGTGATCCGTAGCTAGGGAAATGCGATCCAGTGTTGGGAGGCGTAAGTGAAGGGAGCAGCGGCCCAGACACCCGGAGAGACGCCGTTAGAAATGACCGGGAGCGTGGAGCAAATCCTCCCGAGGATCAGGCTGCCTATGGAGAATGTGCTGGTGCTCTGGCATAGGCACGGTCCCGGACCAGCAATCCTGGTCTGGATGTCTGGCTAGAAGTCACATAGCAGAAAGGCCCCTGTAGTCCCTGTGTGAGGCTAGGACACAAACCAGCAAGACGGTGGACCACAGCAACAACTCACCAGGTGGTCGGTCACTTAGTAGTTAAGGTCTCTAGGTTTGGAGCAAGATAGAGGTCTGAATCCAAGCTCTGCCACCTACGAGCTGGGTGACCTTAGAGAAGTCTTTGAACCTAAGTATGATTACTCACCTGTAAAGTGAGCTAATCCGTAACTCATAAGGTGGGTGTGAGTGTTACACAGTCTGTAAAGAGTACTTGCTGTGTCCCTAACAATAACCTGGAACAGAGACTAGCGCTAGGTAACAGGTTAAAGCCCTTGGCAGGCCCCTTCCATGCAGAAGCAGTGTAAAGTTTACCAGTTATGAATAGACAGGCCGGCCTATTGGGGG